ATCAACACACCAGACAGCCGGCATTAACACACCAGACAGCTGGCATCAACACACCAGACAGCTGGCATCAACACACCAGACAGCCAGCATGAACACACCAGACAGCCGGCATTAACACACCAGACAGCTGGCATCAACACACCAGACTGATGGCATCAACACACCAGACAAACAGCATGAACACACCAGACAGCTGGCATCAACACACCAGACAGCTGGCATTAACACCAGACAGCTAGCATCAACACACCAGACAGCCGGCATCAACACACCAGACAGCTAGCTAGCATCAACACCCCAGAAAGCTAGCATCAAAACGCCAGACAACTTGCATCAACCCACCAGACAACTAGCATCAACCCACCAGACAACTAGCATCAACCCACCAGACAACTAGCATCAACCCACCAGACAACTAGCATCAACCCACCAGACAACTAGCATCAACCCACCAGACAACTAGCATCAACCCACCAGACAACTAGCATCAACCCACCAGACAACTAGCATCAACCCACCAGACAACTAGCATCAACCCACCAGACAACTAGCATCAACCCACCAGACAACTAGCATCAACCCACCAGACAACTAGCATCAACCCACCAGACAACTAGCATCAACCCACCAGACAACTAGCATCAACCCACCAGACAACTAGCATCAACCCACCAGACAACTAGCATCAACCCACCAGAAAAATAGCATCAACCCACCAGAAAACTAGCATCAACCCACCAGACAACTAGCATCAACCCACCAGACAACTAGCATCAACCCACCAAACAACTAGCATCAACCCACCAGACAACTAGCTCCAACACACCAGACATCTAGCTCCAACACACCAGACATCTAGCTCCAACACACCAGACATCTAGCTCCAACACACCAGACATCTAGCTCCAACACACCATTAAATGTAGCTCGCCATATGCCGAAATACCCAGACAAGTAAACCTCTTGTAATCAGGTACAATAAATTTTGTCAAATTAAAAAATAATCCAGACTCGGTCGATTATCGCTTGCGCAGTGCAGTGGGAGAGGGGGGGGGGTGGTGCATGTTTGATACGAGAATGCAGGACAGAGTTGCCATCATGTGTATTGCCTACATTAATCAATTTCTAATTTAATGGAAATCACTTGCAATAGAGATCTTTGAGTTTGAGATAATGCCCATTTTTTTTCTTTCGTTTTGGGGGGGGGGGGGGGGGGGGGAAAGACCGGGTTTGGGGGGGGGGTAAAAAAGAAAGGGGAAAAATTAAAGTCCAAAAAAACATAAAGAAAAAAAAAAGGAGAAAAGGGGGAGGGGGGGGGGGATGGTGGAAAGACCCGGTTTGAGGGGGGGGTAACAAAGACATGGGAAAAATTATAGTCCAAAAGAACATGAAGAAGAAATAAAGGAGAAAAGGGGGCGGAAAAGAAACCGAGGAGGGAGATGAAAAATTGAGCGTTTCCGTTTGGTTTTTTGTTTCATCTTTTATTTTCTTTGATTGATCTTAGTCTGCTTATTTTATTGTTTTAAATTGTTTATTTGCTGTGTTTGCTAAGCTATAGTTTCAGACCTATTGTACGTACTTACGTCTGTAGTTTAGTGGAATAGGTTATTGTTAAGTAGATCGGTTGTTCGAACACTATGCATGAATTAAGGTTGTGCCCAGCCGCTGTGTAGATAAATCTAAGCATACAGTTAACTGAATAACAGAAGACCAACAACACACTAACTTCCATAGACCTAAAAAATCAAAGTCCCTAAACACTCAATCCACATTCACATGGATCCCACATTCACATGGATCCCAATTCACATAGATCCCCCATTCACATGGATCCCACATTCACGTAGATCCCACATTCACATGGATCCCACATTCACATGGATCCCACATTCACGTAGATCCCACATTCACATGGATCCCACATTCACATAGATCCCACATTCACATGGATCCCACATTCACATAGATCCCACATTCACATGGATCCCACATTCACATGGGATCCCACATTCACACAAAATGCGACTTCCGCATATCTTCCACTTCACACAGCACCCATTCCCCCGTAGCACCCACTCCCGCATGGTACCCACAACCACATTGTTGCCACTCACTCCTACACAATACCACACAATACCCATTTCATCGCAACGCTCCCCCACACACAGTACTACTGCCACAGAACACTCATTACCGAACACTACTCACCCACTCACACTCAGAGCCCACTTCCACACAGCCACACTCCTACACCAATCCCGATCCTACACAGCATCTGCTCCCACGCAATACCCACTTCCACACAGTGCCCACTCCCACTCATTACACCACTCCTACTGATTACCCCACTCCTACTCATTGCCCCCACTCCCACACAGTACCCCACTCCAACTCATCACCCCAACATTCATACAGTTCACATACGTTGCCACTGTCCATGGAGAGAAGCCTGCCACGTCAACTAAAACTTTCCACCAAAAAAAAACGTTTAAATGAATAAGTCTGATTTACAAGCCAAATTTTGGTTAGGAAAAAAAAGTAATAACATTGCACATATTAATTAAAACAACCTCTAAGAACAAAGTCCTTTATAACATGTAATATCACATGTCATATAACATGTAATGTCGAGCGATGGGGAAAGGGTGGGGTTAAATATTGGACAAAACATGAATACAGGTAACGCGCGTCATACGAATCCAAACTAATACTGCACCCCCCCCCCAACCCTTTTTAAAGCTCGCAAACGCACTTTTTTTCCCCACGCCCGTGCACTACATCAGTCTTCTGATTCCCGCCCGCTTTTACACAGCAGATTTATTTCACCAACAATTTTAGAAAAAGAAAAGAAAATATTACGCACCAAATGCGCTTGCCATTTTTTTAATTATTTTTTTAAAGAATCTCAATTAGCGCAATTATTGGCGAATTTCATTTGATCTTTGCCTAGAAAAACGGGAAAACTGATTTTTGTAAAAAAAAAAAAAAATATTGGGCGGGGGGGGGCGGGGTTTGGGGGGGGGCGGAAATTTGGTCGAATCATTTTTTTAGTTCACATGTTAAAATGTTCGTCAAATTTCTTTTTGAACGCAACATACTATATAGTTAAACAAAATAGTGCGATCAAAAAAAATTTTAACGTAAAATTTTTTTTTTTAAATTAGATTCGACCAAATTTCCGTTCGATCAAATTACCGTCCATCAATTTACCGTCGACGAAATTTCTTCGATCAAATTTCCGGAAACGGTCAATTTGATGTATGACGTCATGGAAAGGAACTCAGTTACTTGCGTTACATGAACTGATCAGCATCAGGTGATTTTAATTTTTGTTTACTATAAATCTGCATATCTGTAATGATATCTAAAGCTGATCAGGGATATGTGCATAAACAAAACCAATTTTTGTTTAAATGTCATGGAATTTATCGACAGCTTTTGCCGTGGGTTCGATTTGATACTTATTCCATGTTATTATTAAGTTTCGAATCTTAGAATTTTATGTGTTGGCTCGTCATTGTTCACAGTTAATTTAAAATGCTTGGTTATCATGATAAAAGTATAGACAGAATAGTATATAATTTCAAAGTATTGGAAAACGAACTCAACAGATGAGTCCAATTTTAAAATTTAAAAAAAAATTTGTTTTATACAAATTTCACATCACAAAATGAGATTACTTTTTTTTTTAAAAATCTTTTATTGATACAATTGATATCGCATTGATATTAATGTTTTCTTGATATTCAACCTGTATTTTAAAAAAACAAAACATTGACGGTAGAAAAAAGTTGTACACAAAAGTAATAACAATATTAGCAAAAGGTTTCTAACTGGAGTTGTTGTTGTTGTTGTTGTTGTTGTTGTTGTTGTTGTTGTTGTTGTTGTTGTTGTTCATTCCGCCATGTGGAATTGTCGTTACTTTCATAATCTTCCTAAGTGCCTGGCCAGTGTCGCCGTTAAGAAAATGACCACCGTCCGAACTGTGTCTGCTCCAAATGACCACGATGCTGTTTAAAAAAATCAATATACAGAGGATCAGTTTATTCATTGTAGAAACATTTGAGCATAGAATAACTTACCGTAATGTATAGTAAATGTTTACAGTTTAAAAAAAACAAACATTTTGTTTACTTTTAATCAGGTTCTTGGTTATCTAAAATGCAGGTGAACAAAAAAAAACAACGTACATCTGCCTTCCAGGTGTACAATAAATAAATTTGTTTACCCAAATTTTTTTTCCCAGGTGTAAAATAATAAAATGTACGTCTAACATCCTCATCCAGGTGTACAAAAAGCTAAATGTCTGCCAGCCATCCAGGTGTGTATCATCTAAATGTCTGTCAGCCATCCAGGTGTACCATATCTGAATGTCTGTCAGCCATCCACGTGTGCAACATCTAAATATCTGTCAGCCATCCAGGTGTGCAACATCTAAAAGTCTGTCAGCCATCCAGGTGTGCAACATCTAATTGTCTGTCAGCCATCCAGGTGTGCAACATCTAAAAGTCTGTCAGCCATCCAGGTGTGCAACATCTAATTGTCTGTCAGCCATCCACGTGTGCAACATCTAAATATCTGTCAGCCATCCAGGTGTGCAACATCTAAAAGTATGTCAGCCATCCAGGTGTGCAACATCTAATTGTCTGTCAGCCATCCAGGTGTGCAACATCTAAATGTCTGTCAGCCATCCAGGTGTACAACACCTAAATGTCTGTCAACCATCCAGGTGTACAACATCTAAATGTCTATCAACCATCCAGGTGTACAACAGCTAAATATCTGTAGTGCAACATCTAAATATCTGTCAGCCATCCAGGTGTGCAACATCTAAATGTATGTCAGCCATCCAGGTGTGCAACATCTAATTGTCTGTCAGCCATCCAGGTGTGCAACATCTAAATGTCTGTCAGCCATCAAGGTGTAAAACAACTAAATGTCTGTCAACCATCCAGGTGTACAACATCTAAATGTCTATCAACCATCCAGGTGTACAACATCTAAATATCTGTCAGCCATCCAGGTGTACAACATCTAAATGTCTGTCAGCCATCCAGGTGTACAACATCTAAATGACTTTCAACCATCCAGGTGTACAACATCTAAATCTCTATCAGCCATCCAGGTGTACAACATCTAAATGTCTGTAAGCCATCCAGGTGTACAACAACTAAATGTCTGTCAGCAATCCACGTGTGCAACATCTACTGTCAGCCATCCAGGTGTACGACATCTAAATGACTGTCAACCATCCAGGTGTACAACATCTAAATGTCTGTCAGCCATCCAGGTGTACAACATCTAAATGTATGTCAGCCACCCTGGTGTACAACAACTTAATGACTATCAACCATCCAGGTGTACAACATCTAAATGTCTGTCAGCCATCCAGGTGTACAACATCTAAATGTCTGTCAGCCATCCAGGTGTACAACATCTAAATGTCTGTCAGCCATCCAGGTGTACAACAACTAAATGTCTGTCAGCCATCCAGGTGTACAACATCTAAATGTCTGTCAGCCATCCAGGTGTACAACATCTAAATGTATGTCAGCCATCCTGGTGTACAACAACTTAATGACTGTCAACCATCCAGGTGTACAACATCTAAATGTCTGTCAGCCATCCAGGTGTACAACATCTAAATGTCTGTCAGCCATCCAGGTGTACAACATCTAAATGTCTGTCAGCCATCCTGGTGTACAACAACTTAATGACTGTCAACCATCCAGGTGTACAACATCTAAATGTCTGTCAGCCATCCAGGTGTACAACAACTAAATGTCTGTCAACCCTCCAGGTGTACAACAACTAAATGTCTGTCAACCATCCAGGTGTACAACAACTTAGTCCATGTCTACCATCATTGACGAGTCAATCGTTTGTATGTATCCATTAGTACTGACACGCCTTGACCACTGTGGCGTGTCGATCAATTAGTGACCACGTACAGCTGAATAATAAAAAAACCACTTGCCACTTTTCTTTACCCTGTCTTAAAGTTGTGGAAAAAGTGAGCACCTGGGGGGTGGTGATGTTTTACTCAGTGATGCTTTTGGTACGGACGTTCCCTCCCCTCCCCGACCTCTACCAGCTCCCCCCACCCCCGGTGGTTCCATTGTGCAACCTTCGAATCGTGGTACCGTGGAAGTGGATGTTTCCATTCGTTCAAAAGATACACATGATTTATTAACTCGACAATGACAATATTTAAAAAGAGATGATTTCGTGACTGAAATGGTATCGCCAGTAATTGATTTGGCTCTTACAGTTTCGTGGTGTTTTCTTACGTCCACTGGACCTGGACGAGGCATTCCTGCTGTTGGACGGCGAGACATTCCTGCTGTTGGATTCCGTTACACGCTTTGGACATTGGGTGCTAAAAATGAATTTGAAAACATATTTTAAATTGAGTTCCCGAAATCTAAATTTATTCCTTAACTTATGTCTTTCAAAATGGATCTACTGTTTAACGGGTTGTGTTGCGTAACGTGGGTTGGCAGCTACCTATGAAGGATTTAGTGTAGCACGGGTTGCTAGCATCATATCAAGGATGTAGCATAACGCGGGTCGCCAGCGCTCTGTTAGGATGTACCATTGCCCCCCCCCCCCGTGACGGAGCACCACCTTCTCGACCTCTTTCTCGGTGAAGTGAACCATTTTTGGCACCAGCCGAGAAAGAGAAACATGTGCGTTCAAGGGTGGGGGGGGGGGGTTAAATTATATTAAAATTTTTCATTTGGCATCGATGCTTATGGTACAGTATGCAAATCTGAAGTTAACGTCTACAATTTGACGCATTTGTATTATTATTGCACTCCTACCCCCCCCCCAACCCCGTAACTCAGAGTTCTTTAATAAGATGTTCATCCAGAATGGGAGAAACAAAACTATTCGAATTATAACTTTTCCTTTTTTAAAAAAAATTATTATAAATATTCTTCTTGAATTAACAAATTGATTTGTTTTAATTCACTCCTGATTGCCGACTGGCTTGGGAATTTCTGTTGCTATAATTAATGTAAGAGGAGAAACAAATCTACTAATTGTTTTATCCTAACTTTAAGCACAGGAGCTAATCTATCTTTAATTACAGGTGCTGCTGTGGGGGAAGCATATGTCACTACTGATTTGTGGATGGAATTGGGGGGGGGGGGAGAGTTGGTCAGTCGAACGGTGGAAGGGGGAATGTGTGCAGGGAGGGGAGAACTCTCTCTCTCTCTCTCTCTCTCTCGCTCTCTCTCTCTCTCTCTCTCTCTCTCTCTCTCTCTCTCTCTTCTTTCACTCTATTTCTCTCTCAATATGTAATATATATACATGTATATATATATATATATATATATAAATATTTATATATATATATATATAGAATGGTAAATACCTTTCTCTCTCGCTTAGGGTTGCCAGATACGTGGTCATCAAAAGGAGGGCATAATAAAACAAAAAAAGAGGACAAAAGAGGACATTTTTAAAAATGTCAAAAAAACATCATTTAAGTAGCCAATTGTACAATCATTGCCTTATAATCTTTATTAATTACTTGACACATTTCTCGGAGGAGCCAACTTTTCGCAGAGGATCCTCGTTAGCAATCACATATCCATAAAACTGTTCACACAAATTTTTAAGTAACTCTTGAAAAGCAACAAGCATTTGGGCAACTTTGGAAAAATGAACTCCTCTGTTCATGCAAGAGTCTTTCAAAATACTGTTCATTTTTGTCTTGTACAAATGATTTAAGATTGCGGTATTGGTCAAACAATTGCACCATATCTACAGTAATACTCTTTCAGATATAATATGCATGCCAAAAGGTCATCAAATGTACAGTCTTTGATTTTATATAAGTACATCCAATTAAAGCACTGAAATGCATCAAAAGGTTTCAACCACTTTTCTGAGTAACTAATGCATGCTTCATACACCAACTTAACATCTGCCATAAAAGTATTATACTCTTCTTCTCGACCACTTTAACATTTTGACCATAGATAATACAGCACAGAGCTAGATTGTTAGAATGACTAAAATCGACTGGTTCACAGAAATGCATAGACTTTGTACATTGTAGCAACGTAAACATACGATGTAATAGTTGTAACAACGATACATACAAATTATTATATAAACTGTAAGAAAAGCAAGACATTTTACGAGATTTTTGCTTTGCCTGCCGGACGTCTGGCAACCCTACTCTCGCTCTCTCTCCGTAGAAAACCTTCTGGCGTAAGAATACGGGTCGGGGGGGAGGGTGGAGTTTGCAATCTGCCCCGGGTAGCATTTTTTGGGGAGGGGGTCCACTTTATTCAAAATGATGGCTTACGATTAATGTGTGCACTTATTTTTTAGATCTTCGTCATTTTCAAGGATATAGAACATATATTGTTCTCAGCCCGCGGGTCACGACCAAAGTTCCCTTTAAGCTGCGTGGTTGCGCGGCCGCGCAGCTATCTCACAGACATCGCGCAGCAGTTTTGATTATCCGCGCAGCAAATTTCCATGTCATTGTGTGTTTGTGGGCTGTAGTTTTTTGCACACAAAAAAAATTGATTCTGTAAAACTTTGCACAGAACTGTATGATTTTGCACACGAACCAGCAAACCTTAGAGGGAACATTGGTCACGATCACCTTAAAGCAGGCCTGCACAACATATGGCCCGCGAAGTAACGAAATATTCTTGTATCTTATTATTTCTTAATAGCTTGCCCCCTGTCTTATTTTCCTTTGGCCCGCACAGGTCCTGTCCTATTTTCTTTTGGCCCGCACAGGTCCTGTCCTATTTTCTTTTGGCCCGCACAGGTCCTGTCCTATTTTCTTTTGACCCGCACACGTTTTTCCATAAAGTTTTCCGGCCCGCTAACATTTTGAGTTGTTCAGGCCTGCCTTAAAGGGTCGAAAGACTCTTTCACAGGGGTGGCCTATGACCATCGATAACACATATTTATTGAACAGCAAAGAAAATAATTGTATGGTTGGAGGGTCACCCCAACATGAGGAACTGCATTAGAAGGTCGCGACATTAGGAAGGTTAAGAACCACTGGTACAGAACATCACATGACATCTAAATGTCTAACCACTCTAAAATCTAACCTCCATTTAACTACGGTGTCTAAACACTTCGCATCTCGTCAACCATCAAATGGACATACCAACAAGCAGGACAGACATACGGTCAGTTCCCATCTTATACACAATATTAACAACAAATGAAAACAAACAAAACACATGCAATTTGATCAAGTTCTTAGATGTCTTCCAAAACTCAAGTAAATATTCTATCATTTCTGGTTCAAGTATATGTTAATCTGCCCTGGACGTTATATGTCTGAACATAAAAGAAAGATGTAGACTATTTAGATCAGCCGTTCTCAGCCTGTGGATCGCGACTCCTTTGGTGGGTTGAACGACCATTACACAGGAGTCACGTAAGAACATATTTATGATGTAGCAGATAATTTTATGGTTGGGGGTCACAACAACATGAGGCTCATGAACTGAATGAAAGGGTCGTGGCATTAGGAAGGTTTAGAGCCGCTGATGACGATGAAAAATAACACCTACCCTTCTCCGGTCGCTTTTATCGCGACACATCCGTGTTGGATGAACTCTCGCATCATCTCAAGCGACGCCTGGGGCTGGTCGTGGGGCGTCTGGTGACCCGCGCCCTTCACCACGACCCGACAGAACTGATCGGTCTTAGAATAGAATCCCCTCAGCTGACCTTCCGCCGACCACCACATCGACCGACGGGTCGCGTTGTACTCGGCCTGGTGGCGCCACGGCGTCGTCAGGAGCGCCGACTCCACCATCACGGAGCTGACGATGACGTCGTAGTCCCCGGTATAGATGAGTACCTTGTACTTGTTCATCAGCTCTGCCATTTCGGATTTGAGGCTGACGAAGAGGTCCCCGCCGAACTTGGCGTTGACGGCTCGGTTGATGATGTGGAACGTCCTGTTGCCCGCGTGCACGGCGTGGCGAATGCGGGGCGTGTTCATGCACTCATTGACCAGCATATAATCTGCGGGGTTTCCCGTGACGTAGTTGTCCAAAGTGGCGAGGCCGAGATTTCTGAGGATTTTGTCGAGCACTTCCTTGAGTTCCACGTTTTTGAGCTCGCCGGCGTGGAACTGTTGAATAAGTTTCAACGTGTCTTGCCTGTATTCAACTTTCTGAGCGTGGCTGATTACTCCCATGCTGTAGATGTACTCATAGTAGGAAAGGGTTTGGACGGGCGGGTCGAAAAATGGACCACCAATGTAGACCCCGGTTAAGGGTATGTCAGTCCTGTTTTTCTGTAGTTGTTCGTCGATGTAGTAAGCGATGCTGGGAACGTATTTGCCTGCGTAGGACTGGCCGCCAATGTACAGTTCTCTCTTTTTATATTCCGGGAACATTTTGTAAAACTGTTCTATAAAAGAGTAAAGATCCTTAGTTATACCTTTTTGGGTTGACCTGTGGCCAGCGTCGCCGCTCTCCGTAAAGCTGTAGCCCACATCCACCGGGTTGTCGATGTACAACATGGCAAAAGGATCCGCCCACGAATGTTCTCGTTTTTGAAAGTCTTTTCTGTCGGATCTGAGTTCCAGTGGCCCATTCTCCCAGAAAAGGCCCAGCATTGAAGACACGCCTGGGCCCCCGTTTAGCCAAATCAATAAAGGGGCGCTGGCGTTAAGTGCCGATGGGAAAAACCAAAAAAACAAATGGTTCTTCAAATGTTTGTCCACCGTAATGAACCCTGAGTAGCTTTCCGGAATGGTGACCCCGGTTGTATTTTCCTCAGTTACCCGGCTGTGCCCCCGTGCTTCCTTGATCTGGCCTTTTTCCAGATACGGTGTTAGAAATAACGGAACACTGGCCGAGACGATCTCAAGGAAGCCGAGCAATCCCAGCAGTCCAATCGATATTGCGAAAGAAAACTCCATTCTTGGAGGTTCTGTGGATATAAATAGATTTACAATGTTTGGCGTCATGTTTCCATACAGAGTAAACATTCAAGATAACGTTAATGGTGGGGATTTTTTTACTTCTAAACATTGCTGCCATGAGATAGCTGCATCATGTCATGTTTGTCAATGACACATATTTATAGCTACATTATGTCATGTTTGTCAATGACACATACGTTTAGCTACATTATGTCATTGTTGTCAATGACACATACCTTTAGCTTTATTATGTCATGTTTGTCAATGACACATATTTATAGCTATGTGATGCCATTTCTGTCAATGACGCATACTTATAGCTACGTTACGTCATGTTTGTCAATGACACATACTTTTAGCTATTCTTATGTTATGCTTGTCAATGACACACACTTATTAACTGGCACATTTCCTAAATGTCCACAACTTCTAAATTTACTGGCAAGCCTAATTATTTTAAGGAGTATTTCAATATGAAATTGTTGAGATTGTGACACTGTCAGTTTGTTTTCCTTTCTCGGTTCATGCGGCTGTGTCACATCTCCGTGACTCCATGTTGTATGGCAAAGACAAATATTTCATGGCGTTAAATTATTTTATGTTATTTCCATTAGTTTTAAATTTATCATTGTTTTTTTGTTTTTTTATAAATTATTATTACAGTGGTCTTATACAAAGCTGTACCCTATTTTATCCAACAACCTATTTATTTATTTATTGACCTAGAAACAACTTCAAACCAAACAGTGGCGCACAATAATTAATTAATCACAACGTCACTTTAAATTCACGGCATCGGAACACTCAGGTCATCCACAAAGACACCATCCCCCACCCCCTTCCCCCCAACCTCCTTTATTTAAATTTATTCATTGAACCAATATAATCCTAGATCCCGACAACAACCAGACACAACTTACTCTACTCAGAGCTGCTGCACCTCTCCTACAGCCAGACATAGCATCTGACAAGTGAACCATCGCCCAGTGCAGCTCCTCAAGTGGCTGGCGGATTAGCCGGGGCGGTGGGGGCCTGTTTGAAATTATCTTTTGTTGTTTCAAAGAGATGACAACTTGTGTTAGCAGCAGAAGGGGAAAGGGGGGGGTGGAGAGAATGGGGACGAAGGAAACGGGGCGGAGCCCGTTACAAAAAAACAAGATCAGAGACGAAATGCAATTTTTTTTTTTTTTTTTTTTAATCCTATGGGATCTGTGGTAGGGAGAGATGTAGCTTTACATTATAATCGAATTCTTTAAATTTTATCAGAGATCAAATATGTATAATCTTAAAAACGGCCACGCAGCCAGCCGATGAGCTTATGCAAGCGTTCGAATACCAGAATGATCTCGAATACCAGAATGATCTCGAATACCAGAATGATCTCGAATACCAGAATAATGTTGAATATCACAATGATGTTGAATACCAGAATGATGTCGAATACAAGAATGATGTTCGAATACCAGAATTTTGTCGAATACTAGAATGATGTCGAATAACAGAATGATCTCGAATACCAGAATAATGTTGAATACCAGAATGATGTTCGAATACCAGAATGCTGTCGAATACTAGAATGATGTCGAATACCAGAATAATGTTGAATACCAGAATGATGTTGAATACCAGAATGATGTTGAATACCAAAATAATGTTCGAATACCAGAATGCTGTCGAATACTAGAATGATGTCGAATACTAGAATACTAGAATGATGTCGAATACTAGAATGATGTCGAATACCAGAATGATGTTGAATACCAGAATGATGTTGAATATTAAAATAATGTTCGAATACCAGAATGCTGTCGAATATTAGAATGATGTCGAATATAAGAATGATGTCGAATACTAGAATGATGTTGAATACCAGAATAATGTTGAGTACCACTATTATGTCTAATACCAGAATTATGTCGAATACCAGAATGATATCGAGTACCAAATCGTTCTTACAGCAGTGCGTGACATAATGGCTGGGAACGATTAAGTTAAAAAGATTCCTATGGCCATTTGTTTATGTCTATCACATTTTGAATGACGTATAAAGTCTAGAGTCATCCCTCGTGTTTATTGAATAACTGATCACCTGTTATGCATGCAGTTATCCTCTGGGTCACCTGTTCTGCATGCAGTTATCCTCTGTGTCACCTGTTATGCATGCAGTTATCCTCTGTGTCACCTGTTATGCATGCAGTTATCCTCTGTGTCACCTGTTATGCATGCAGTTATCCTCTGTGTCACCTGTTATGCATGCAGTTATCCTCTGTGTCACCTGTTATGCATGCAGTTATCCTATGTATCACCTGTTATGCATGCAGTTATCCTCTGTGTCACCTGTTATGCATGCAGTTATCCTCTGTATCACCTGTTATGCATGCAGTTATCCTCTGTGTCACCTGTTATGCATGCAGTTATCCTCTGTGTCACCTGTTCTGCATGCAGTTATCCTCTGTATCACCTGTTATGCATGCAGTTATCCTCTGTATCACCTGTTATGCATGTAGTTATCCTCTGTATCACCTGTTCTGCATGCAGTTATCCTCTGTGTCACCTGTTATGCATGCAGTTATCCTCTGTGTCACCTGTTCTGCATGCAGTTATCCTCTGTGTCACATGTTCTGCATGCAGTTATCCTCTGTGTCACCTGTTATCCATGCAGTTATCCTCTGGGTCACCTGTTCTGCATGCAGTTATCCTCTGTGTCACCTGTTATCCATGCAGTTATCCTCTGGGTCACCTGTTCTGCATGCAGTTATCCTCTGTGTCACCTGTTATCCATGCAGTTATCCTCTGGATCACCTGTTCTGCATGCAGTTATCCTCTGTGCAACTGAATGCCTTTCGTGAAGCGTCTTTTTGTTGATGCCCCAACTTTCTGCAGCAGCCTTAACACTCTAGACCTTCTGTTGAGATCGGGCAGAGGTGTCTGAAGGGCATCGTATCCGTAATTAAAATACTTGACAGCTCCGAAGATGAAGAAATTTATCAGAAGCAAGCCATGGGGACGGGTGGATCTGTTGCAGCTTAACTGGGCACATGAGGAATGCACACCATATTGCGACAGCTATGTAATGACTAGCAAACAGAATCTATTCGGCCTTTTGCCCCTTCATTGTGGACCTTTTGCCCCTTCATTGTGGGCATTTTGCCCCTTCATTGTGGGCATTTTGCCCCTTCGTTGTTGGCCTTTTACCATTTATGTTGGGGTGAAAAGCCCATAATTATTTTTTTAACAAAATAAAATTGTACTTATTTATTATCATGATTTAGGGCATTGATTTCGTGTCTTAAATAGCATTTGTTCTTAAATAGCATTTACTCTGTTGGTCTCAAACAGTATTTTTTTCTGTTGGTCTTAATAGAATTTGTTCTGTTGGTCTTAAATAGCATTTGTTTTCTTGGTCTTAAGTAGCATTTATTCTGTTGGTCTTAAATAATATTTGTTCTGTTGGTCTTAAATAGCATTTGTTCTGTTGGTCTTAAATAGCATTTGTTCTGTTGGTCTTAAATAGCCTTTGTTCTCTATGTTTTCCATACCTTAAAAAAAACTTTTTTTTTTTAATTTTTACATTAAAATATCAGATGAAGGTTTTTAAGAAAATGTGGAGCGCTTGCTACCTTATCATATGTAATAGTGTATCATGTTATAATTTATAATGTTCTCATATAGAATATTTAGGTTAATATCTTTCCCTCCAAACACCGCACAGGAATTGGATTATTTCGTTTCTCTTCCACCTCCCATCCCACCCCCCGCTTTAAGGGCGAGAATCAAACGCTAGAGAGGGAGATTATCCGTGATATAACACGTCCGCCGTCACATCAGTGGAGGCGCGGGCGGGGTTGTTGGCTGCACAATCAAAAACAAACTCATTCCACGGCAACATAGATTCTAAAGACATTTTACAGAAAGTGGGGGTAGGGGGGTGTGCTGGAGGGAAGAGCCAAAAAGTGTGACGCTTTACCCTACATCTTAGAACCTGTCTCACGCCAACGAGAGGGTTGTAGTTTAACTGTCTATTAAAAAAGTGGCAACAACTCATTTTAAAGATATTTTCAGTATTAAAAAATAATAATAAGTAATGCCCTCATTTACCGAAATTGCTGTAAATTAAGGGTAGAGTTTCAATGACTCCTTAGAGTTGTACCGTTTCACAAAATCAAAAAAATAATATAAAAAAAAAAAGAATAATTCCTTAATCCCATTTTTTCCTCAGCTCACAAAGGTATTTGGGTGAAGTGAGGCCATGGCACACACGAGGCTTAGACAAATTCAATAAATGTTTATTTTATAACATTTTTTTTTTTTGTATATATATTTTTATTTAATGAACAGCAAATAAACTTCCGGTGTTTACGACACTTTTTCCCCTATTGCGCATGCGCAACGAAGTGGCTGAGTTCTTACAGCAGTCCGTGACATAATGGCGGGAACGATGGTTACGATAAGATCTCTCATCTGGAAATGCCGTACGGAAAAGGGTCAGCAGCAAGCATATTCAAATAATGGCCTGGTGGTGGGGGGGGGGCAAGGGGGGGAGGGGTTTTGGACGACGATGCGACGGAATGATATCAGTCTGGCAGCGGCGTAGCGAGGGTGTTTGGCGCCCGGGGACATCTGTCCCCCCTGCACCCCGCTCGCTACGCCTCTGCAGTCTAGCATTGTTTCATAAAGTTTAATGTCTGTTTAAAGGTTTGAGGGGGGTTGTGCATGTTGTATGGGTTCTACCATATTTGTGGATATTGATGGATTTATTACACAATGCTCAGGCAGAAAATAACAATCATCTGTGTGATAAAAGAACTCAATGTGTTTGTGTGTAGGCTAATGGGTCCAGGAGGCCACACAATGGATCACAACCACCAAACTGAACCTGGTCTTTCCTCCTGACCTTACAGTTGGGTCCTGGACATTTTGGCTTTGCCCCTTATGCTGTAATTTAAAAACAAAAACAATTGTGAAATGTAGAGGGTACAAAAATCTAATTTTTTTAAATGTGTTTGTGTGTAGGCTAATGGGTCCAGGAGGCCACACAATGGATCACAACCACCAAACTGAACCTGGTCTTTCCTCCTGACCTTACAGTTGGGTCCTGGACATTTTGGCTTTGCCCCTTATGCTGTAATTTAAAAACAAAAACAATTGTGAAATGTAGAGGGTACAAAAATCTAATTTTTTTAAATGTCTTCCAGGTGACGATCAAGTTGAATTATTTTTGGTGTACGCAATTTTAATAAAGCTTTTATTCCGCATGGTGCACCTTAAATAGCTTTGGCTGTTATAAGGGAAATACATTGTAGAGCCTGCTAAACTCATTTGGACATTTCTAGAAACTTCAAAAAAAATTTTTTTTGTTGAAATCTGATTTCATAAGATTTGAGGAAATTCATATAGGGTTATAGGAACATAAGAAACATGACCTTAAAACTTTTATTTAAAAAATCTAATGTTCTAGAATAAGGTAGAATCTTCAGGACGTAAAAACAAGAAATGTACACCGAAACCGATAAAAAAAAATTCCCAGGAAGGTAAAAGAAATCTGTAAAACTAAACAAACTTTCCATAAATTTTTGGACTTCATTTCATGGACAATTTAATATTCTTTACATTTTCGTGGAACATTATAGAACTTGCTGGAAAATTCTATATTAAAAAATTAGCATTGCTTGTAAAAAAAAAAAATAAGTAATGTAGTCATGAAGTCAAGACTAATGCATGTTGAAACCCAATGCAGTGATTCTATATGTGCTCTGTGAAAGGTGACATGAGGTCCCAGGTGGGGACGCGCTCTGAACGGTGATGTTTTAAATGTCACTAAGATTTGGACACTTAAAAAATGTTTTATATATATATATTTAGCAAAGTTACAATTTGAAAGGTGTCCCATTCAAATGTAAGAAGAGAAAGAGCTTATGTAAGTCACGTGAATTTAGTATCCTTGGCCACTACCGTGGTGACTGTTATGCGTTCAAAACCCTCCATTTGTTCAA